TAGTTTTGTTATGTAGTTATGTTGTGAACAAATGTTGTTAGAAAAAGTAAGACAAACAAGACCTTTGATCCAGTTTTGCACTGCTGATGTATGTTCAGTTGCAGTGGCAGCGACATTTACTCCCAGCTTGTTCCTTATCTAACTGCGTAACATTGTTTTAAATAGTGTCTCTCAGGCTTTCTGCCCAACTTAATCATGTTTTTCATAAAGTTTTTTAACAAATGTGGTGGATTAGTGCTACCTCTGTGAATTACAATTTTTTCTTACTCAAAATGTCATTTCTAGAAAGTTCTGAGTAACCCTGTTCACCTCGACAAGGCTTTTGCATACAAATTCCTCCATCCTTGGCTTGGAACAGGCCTTTTAACCAGGTACAGATGTTGATTTCTTTTGACTTGTATAAATCTCTTTAGCAGAAAAAATAAGAGTAAAGATTTGGAAGGAAATGAATATGATATCAAAATAAAAACATCTCATCAGCCTGATTTGAGATACACATTGACATTGAAAGAACAGGATTTAAAAAAGCTAACCTATTTAAAAAAGCTAACCTATAAAAAAAGCTAAAGGTAGTTTCAATACATCTTATGATTTGTATTGATGTTTTTTGTATTATGATGTTTGACCAGAAAAGTTATTGCAACTCATTTAGTTTGCTTTTGAGTAAACAATGGCTGTGTTTTTTTCAGCACTGGGAAAAAATGGAGACAACGAAGAAAGATTCTGACACCGACCTTTCATTTTTCCATCCTGACTGACTTTCTGCAAGTAATGAACGAACAGGCAGAAATTCTGGTGGAAAAGCTGGAGAAGAAAGCGGGAAAAGGTTCTTTCAACTGCTTCAGTGACATCACCCTATGTGCACTGGATATTATCTGCGGTGAGTAGATGAAGCATTTAAAAAAATTAGTCGGATCTGTAGAAAACAAACTTGAAGGGAGCTCTTGTGTATAGCCACACTGCATGATCATTCCTCTTGGTATCATGATGGAAGTAGTTCTAATTAGTTAAATTTTATGCATTCAAAACAAGAGTGTTATTTATGACTCATCTGTAACACTTTGTGATAGATGCATTGGAATTACAGGAAAGGAACTTACAAAAGGGAAAATAGGAGGGAAAAGGTTTTCTGGGATCACTTGGACTTCCTGGCCCATGATGACCTGCTAACATGATTATTTTATTTTAGTGGGGAGTTTTGGCCTAGTGGTTAGAGCAGTGGGCTGCCATTCGCCTGGAGTTTGACTGGGAAGAGCCATTTTGAATGGCTGCTACTGTAGTCATCCCAGTGCAATGCTTTTGCATCTGTGTATTTGCTTGACTGGATCCAGTATTTGTGATACAAAACCAAAAAAAAACATGGTACCCTGTTCAGTTAAAGCTGTTGACCACTCTACTCTAAAGTTCCTGAGAAACAGGTCTTCCAAGTCTGAATTTACCACAGGTATATGTTTAATGTGGGGTGCACAGTGGGAAGTGCAGCCTACCTTGCTGCAAGAAGGTTCGGGGTTTGATTTCTGGCCTGGGGTCTTTCTGCATAAAGTTTGCATGTTCTTCCTGTGTGTGCGTGGGTTCTCTTCGGGTACTCCAGCTTGCCCCACAGTCCAAAAGCATGACTGTTGGGTTAATTTGGTTTCTCTAAATTCTCCTTAGGTGCGAGTGTGTGTGTGTGTGTGCATGGTTGTGTGTCTTTGAGTGTCTCTGTGATGCTGGTGCCAATTGACAGCTGGGTCAATTGGCACCAGAAACTCTCGAGACTCCAGCAGTGATAAGTGCGATGGAAAATGGAGGGTTGGATGGTATATGTTTATTGTATTTTTATTTGTATGTATTTATTACTGTTTTCAAGGCTCCAGTTTAAAAAATGAAATTGTCT